CTGTGGACAGACTGAAAGTCAGCTATATGGAAGGTGGTCTTAGCCTTTTCATAGTCTAGACCGATAGGGAAAAAGAAGGACAGAGAAAGAAACAGACACTCACTGCCACTGAGTCCATCCCAGCTCATCGCGGCAACCCTATAGGACAGGCTAGCTCCGTCCGTCCCTATAGGTTTCTGAGACTGTAACTCTTTAAGGGAGTAGAAAGCCTCAGCTTTCTCCTGTGGCGCATCTAGTGCTTTCAAACCGCAGCCCAGTGCATAACCCACTACACCGCCAGGGCTTCTAGGAACATACACCACTACATGCAGAAGGACATGGTTCATTCCCTCTCTGCGTTCAGGTCTCTGCTCAATGGGCAACCTATCAGAGGTGTTCCTGTGACTACCCTGCATGAAATAGCGTGTACACCAATGCCTTATCTCCATCAACTCTCTCATCCACTTAGGAGTTTCTTTTTTCGTCATAGTACAAATCATGCTATCTATTTTTTCACTCTTTTTCCACTAGAGCAGGGTGTTTTCCAGTTGAGTGTGATATCCCACCAGCAGCAGCATAGTAGGTGTTTCAGTGCATGTATGCTAAATAAATAAATGGTCAAATGAACAAAGCAGACTTCATCTCATCAAAGCATTCTCATATCACTTTTAAGATACAATTCCAGAATGATCTTAGCCACAGCATTCATACATACACTTAATTCTTTTTGTGACTGTGCCTTCCCATGAGCTGGGCATGAGAGTTGCCCAGTAGGTGCTTTGGGGAGCATGGTAAATGCTATCATCTTAAGCTTCTTGACAGTAAACGAAGCAAGGAACCCATTCAGGAATGGGGCATATCTTCCAGTGCACTGTTGTCTTCTGCGTTTTAGCAAGTAAATATTAGGAGACCAGATGGTGCAGGGTGATAAGCATTGGACTGTTAACCACAAGGTTACAATTCAAATTCCCCAGTTGCGCAGCAGGAAAAAGATGCGAGACTGCCCTACAAAGATTTACAGTCTCGGAAACCGCCAGGGCATTTCTACTCTGCCTGCAGGGTCATGAAGAGTTGCAATATGGACAAATTGGCTGTGCATTCGTTTTAGCTTTGGGTTTATGTGTGTAACTTGTACTTAATACATATGTGATGATTAGATTAAGAGAGATTCTAAAATCAGGTTTACTAAGATATTTATTTGCCTTTCCTTCTTTCGTTAGATAATAATGATACCATATTGGCTATTATAATTAAAGCCTACTGAATCGTGCTCTTCTTATTGTAATCTTTTATCACATTATCATCCTTTCAATGTTTTCAGAGAGATCGTCCCAGTATTGAGAATTCTCCTTTATCTACAGCCAAAATGAAACTATATATTTCAGATAGGAAATTTTGGATGATCACGTATTTGTTTTTTGGTTTTGATTTTTTTTTCTTTTTTATCATTTTATTAGGGGCTCATACAACTGTTATCCCAATCCATACACACATCAATTGTGTAAAGCACATTTGTACATCGTTTCTCAAAGCATTTTCTCTCCATTTAAACCCCCGACATTAGTTCCTCATTTTTCCCCTCCCTCCCCGCTCCCCCCTCCCTCATGAGCCCTTGATAGTTTATAAATGGGTATTTTGTCATATCTTGCCCTGTCCGACTCTCCCTTCATCCACTTTTTGGTTGTCTGTCCCCCAGGGAGGAGGTCCCACACTGTTCCATGTAATCGGTTCCCTCTTTCCTACCCATTCTCCCTTTACCCTCCATGTTTGAGTAACTTTTTAAGTGGGCACGGGCGTGATGGAAAGACCTAGGTGGACACTGCCCACATGGGAGAAACAGGTTGGATTCCCGGCCAGTGTACCTCATGCAAAGCCACCATCACTCTGTGAGAGGAAGATCGTGTGCTGTTACAATGCTGAAGAGATTTCAATGGAGCTTCTGGTCTAAGACAGACAAGGAAGGAAGGACTGGCGATCTTACAGTTCACCAAGTCTCTGTGGCCCTTTTCTCCTGTGAACATGGTTTGCCAGTAGTCAGGGAATGAATGTGGCAACTAGTGACAGTGACAGCTTTGTAACTAGTGGGGTATATCAGGAAGTAACACTGGGGTTAAGACTAGAGTAGGGGAATTTTATATTTTGAGTATTTTATTTGTATAGTAGGGGGTTGTAGTAGAGGGCATTGGTTTGAGAAAAAATGGCAAATGGGATTTGTTCATGATTTACAGCTGCTTTTTTGTTGCCTCCAAACAACAACTTGGTTTGAATTTTTGTCGGTAATCCTTTCTGTCTTTGGACAGATAAAGTCATCTTGGAGTGGGAAATATGCGTGTGTGTACCACCCCCCCTACCCACATGACCACCACCCTACCTCACACACACACACACACACACACACACACACACACACACTGAGTTGGAACTTAGCACACAGAATAAGTAGCCAGGGGCTTGTGACTAATTTTTATTAGCTTATATTGCTGTAAATTCAACCTATTTCTTCTCCCTCTGTCCAATTTAAGATTAAATTACATACTGCAGTATATTAGAGAGATGGCTATTTTGTTGTTTCACTGGAACCTTTTAATCAGCTTTAATACTGTCCTGGGTAAAGTAAAAACTTAATCCTTTCTCTCTTTTAGGGATTTTCTAGTTTGGCATCCTCAGAGCTGAGGAAGCAGTGGTGAAAAGGCGCTGCTTCTTACAAACTCTGCTTTTATTAACTTTCCTTCAATAATCCTCTTCCAATCTTCCTGAACATTGCATTATTGGAACCCTAAAATAAATAAAATTTGTGCCAAAATCAAATTTTCAAATCATTTTAATGAAGCTCTGGAAATATCCCAAGCCTTGGGAGATATTACTTTCCTGATTTATATTTTAAATTCTAGAAAGTAGGTCGGTAGAAATATTGCCATTAATTGGTTTAATAATAAATGCAAAATTATAGGACAAGCTCAATTTTGAAATATAGATTTAAATGAGAAGAAATTATACAGCAGAATTCATAGCATTTAAGGATTTGAATTTAAATAAGATGCATTTAATCATAGCTTATTATTTCTTCTTGAAGAGATTTTGTACACCAAAAAGAAGGCCTGAATGTTGAGAGATGTAACTACATGAAGAAAAAAATTAACATGGAACCTACCATCAGTTTGTCTTACTGTAGTAGCTTATATGATGCTGGAAGCTTTGTCACCAGTATTTCAGGTACAATCTGGGTCACCAAGGATGGCTAGGTTTCAACAGAGCTTCCAGATTAAGACAGACTAGGAAGAAAGGTTTGGCAATCTACCTCTAAAAGCAATGAAAACCCTACGGTTCATAATAAACTGTTTACAGATAGAGTCCTGGAAGATAAGCCCCTGGGAAAGGGACTCAAAATACATGGGCTACAGAAGTGAACTTGTGTACCTGGAATCCTGAAGGTGGCCCAAGACCAGACAACGGTCTGTCTTACTGCGTATCAGTCGGCCAGTTTGATGATCACTAACAACTGTCATATCTGACAAGGAAATCTCTAGGAATAGTTTTACAGGACTTTAATAGGTGTGCCTTGGGAAAAAGTAGTATGTACTCAAGTCAGCTTGGGAAGTAGGGAGTTAAACAAATACAAGTGGTTTCTGTAGGATTTCTCAGAACCTTTAGTGCTTTCTGAGGGTCTGAGAGGCGGTGTGGCTATAGGGCAGTGCTTTCCAAACCTAATAATATTCTGAGCATACAAACTTGAACCATTCTGGGAATTTATAGCTCTAAAAATGTTGAGGCTATTGGGAAAATGTTTTCCCAGTTATGCTAACGATGTGATGTCATTCACATATGTTACATGTGTAAAACCCCAGTTCTACAACTTTATATTACTTTTCCAAACTCATTAAAAATAGGAAATATCTGCCACCATTTTAAAATGACATAAGATGTTCTTGCCAATGCAATAGACATAAAACAAGAACGAAAAGACTGTGATTGTTGAAAAATGGAGAGAAATTTTATTATTTGGCAGACAAATTCTATACATCAAGAACCTGGGGGAAGTAGAAAAATAAAATCTATGTATTTAATAAACTGGTTAGTTCCTTGAGGTGACCAGAATGCAGTTCTTTTATTATACATACGCGGTTTGATCTATAGATTGGCGTACTTTTTCTATGTATTAACTGTTGGCTAGATAATCAATAGAATGGTTAAGGTTGCATCGTCAGATTAGAGAATCGGGGGAAGTAGTGCCATGCAATTTTGGAAGAACGGAGTAATCCGTGACAGTGACCCTGGGGCGATGGCTGCTGGGTCAGAGGGCCGTGGCTTCCTTTGGCAGAGCCACGTTGGTGCATGAAGTGGAAACCTGCACTGTGGGGATTGAAGAAGGAATGTAATGCAAGAGCCCAGACATGTCTTTGAGTTTGATCATGATGGAACTAAAAAGCGAGGGAAAGAGTATTCTGTTGTTTGGTTTGCTTTTCCCCAGAACCTTCATTGTTTCCCCCTTGAGAATGGAAACTCCTCAGAGGCAGGGCCTGGGCTTCCACGAGCCCTGCTGCACATCGGCCTGCTGTGAGAGTGGGCGCTTCCCATTGGGCTTTCAGGTTAGGCTCAGCAGTTCTCAACCTGTGGGTCGCCACCCCTTTGGGGGTCAAGCGACCCTTTCACAGGGGTCGCCCGATTCATAACAGTAGCAAAATGACAATGACGAAGAAGCAACAAAAATAATTTGATGGTTGGGGGGTCACCACCACACGAGGAACTGTATGAAAGGGTGGCGGCCTGAGGAAGGTTGAGGACCACTGGTTTAGGGGAATGACTGAGTGGAGACCTGAAAGATAATTGGTAGTATGCAAAGTGAGGGAGAACACTTGAGGGGTCCTCCTTGGTTGAACGAGGCAGCTCTAGCGTTTGGTCCCGGCCCGGGCTGGGTCCGCTGAGCCGGTGCCAGTCAGAGCGTCTGTGCTGCTCTTCCCAGCCTGTGCCTGCACCTGTCTCACTGCCTTGATTCACCGGCCTCCCTTTGGGCTTCTTTACAGCTATGACTCCTGCACTGTCCAAAGGCACGATGTTCCCCCTGGAGGGCATGTGATGAGTCGGAGAGCTTGGCTTCAGAGTGCTCGGAACCTGAGGAACTGCCGAAGACTCGGTGCCCGGCCCTGACCACCAGAGAGCCCGCAACACAATGAACAAACTGAGCTTCCATAGCAACAGAGTCATGCAGGACCGCCGGAGCGTGTGCATTTTCCTTCCCAACGACGAATCTCTGAACATCATCATCAACGTGAGTAGACCCAGCCTTGCTGCTGCTGCTGCTACTGCTGCCGTTCATTACTGCCAAGTCCGTTCTGACTCATGGGGACTTAACGTGTGCAGAGTGGCACTGCTCCAGGGAGGATTCCCAAGGCTGTGACCTTTCAAAGCAATTGCCAGGCCTTTCTTCCAAGGCACCTCTGGGTGGGACTGAGCCGCCAGTCGGTTCGTCGTCAAGTGCTGAGCCAGAAGTTTGTGCCACCCAACAACTCCTAGATCAAACTTTAAAAATGTCTAACTATTGAGTTTCTTCTAGTGACCACATTCAAGTCAGTGACAGTTGGTTAAGAACGAACGAGTTCCAGAATGAGATCAGTACCCTTGTCGGGGTTCGAAGGGGTCAGCATGTGCTTTAAAGAACTGTGCTGTTGTGGTCAGGTGCTGTCAAGGTGGTTCTGACTCATGGCAAGCGACCCTGCGCCCGGCCTGCACCATCCTCACAGTTGGCCTTATGTTTGAGTCCCGTGTTGCAGCCACTGGGATCAAACCGACAGCAACAGTTTAAAAACTCAGACGTTTTGGCAGGCAGTGAATTTATGTTAATTGAAGAGGAACCAATTTGAAAAGAATAGTGTACAACTTGCATGTAATGATGTCATAGGGTTGTACATGCAGAAATTGTTGAATTGCTGTATTCTGTTCCATATTTTTTCAACAACAGCAATAAAGAAATATGATTTATGTCCCTTTGTATATGTATCTATAAGCAATTACATATATGTGCATATAGACAAATAAATCACAGTGGCTGCAACAATAGATTCGAGCATGATAGCAATTATAAAAATGGTACAAGACCGGGTATCAAAAAGGAAGAAGGGAGGGAGGAAGAGAGGGAGGGAAGGAACAACGAGCGAAGAAACAAAGCAAGGGAAAAGGGAAGTTGGCAAGCAACCACAGGCATAGAATTATGAGTGGCATAAAATTTGAGAATTCTGGCTACTGTTTTATAACAACACATACTCGGCTGTTTTAAAACTTTGTTGAAATATAACTTCTATTGGAGGATAATATAAATTGACTTTGAAAATGTTTCCCCTCCTCACCTTCATATGCAGTGATAGTAATTGTCAGCTTTATATCTGTCTGGATTGTTTTAACAGTAGCTTAAGGGGAGCCAGTTTCAAGAAGGAGGTGCGTGGGCTGTACACCTGAGCACTGTTCTGGTTCATAAAAGAGTCAGCTTTTAGTTGACATGAGCATTGAGGGATATCAAACTGCTTAGCTCTTAAAAATCAAGTGATAATTTGCTTACAGCAAAGTATGGGTGTCTTAACATGTGCTGCGATATAAATTTTGACAGGAGCATGTGTCTGGGTAGCCTCCATCTATGTCGAAACAGAAAGTGCTCTCAGCATCCCAGATAAGCCTTCTGTGGCTCCGAGTCCATAACCTTTACCCAAAGGGTAGCGGTGCTTCTGAGCTCTGTTGGCATCGAGCACTTTGCTTGGTTTTGAATTTCAGACAGGTAAAATAATGTGATGTATTCTGTTGTGTCTGGCTTCCTTCACTCGACACTTGACCCATGAGATCCATCCATGCTGCTGAGTGTAACAACATCTTTCTCATCGTCACGTGATACTCACTTTTATGGATAGGCCCAATTTATTTTCCTATCTACTGTTGTTATATATTGGATTATTATGAATGAAGTTTATTGTGGGCTATTTTTGTGGCTGCATATGTGTGTATACATTTCTGGGTTCAGACACAGGACTTGAGTTGTGAATTATAGAGTATACGTATGTTTGGCTTTAGTAGAGACGGATGAACACTTTTATAGAATCATTATCAGGCATAATATCCCTTTTCTATTGTTAGTTGAGCCTGGGTAGCCTCTTGGTTACATGTTTGGCAGCTAACCGCAAAGGCAGCAATTAGAAATTACCAATGGAAGACGGGGCTTTCTATGCCCATAAAGAATTACAATCTCAGAAACCCACAGGAGCCAGTCTTCCTTACCGTATAAGGTCACCATGAGTAAATCAACTCAGTGGCAGTGAATTTTGAGTTTTGGAACTTTTCCTATTGTTATCTCTGTTATCTTTTTTTTTTTTTCCTCCTTAACTTCTCGTTGTGATTTGGCCAGTGGTTTACAGAACAAATCAGTTTCCCATTCAAGAAGCCATACACATTTAATTTTCAATTCCTTCAGTGTAACATTGCGTATCCCACTTCCTCCCAGCAGAGATCGGTTACAGTGTAGCATGGCTTATCCCACTTCCTCCCGGCAGAGATTGGTTACAGTGTAGCATGGCTTATCCCTTTCCTCTCTGTGTTTCCTGTTTCCATTGCTCAGTTTCTAACCCTCTGGACTTTGCCCTTGGATAAATGCTGCCCTTTTGATCCCAGATGGTTGATTATTGTTAAACATTTGTGTTCTTTCTCTCAGTAATTAAATTCTGATGAAATTGTGGAAAATATTGCCTTTGTGAAAGTCTTGACCTAGTTTCTTTTGTCATATACCAGCTATATGTTAAAGCAATTACTCCATAAAAGAATATAGAAAATGCTATACTGAAGATAAGTGACATATAAGTAGCTTCATGAACGATTTAGGTAGAAGAAGATATTGCTAGGTGAAGAAAGCTGATGGTGCCCGGCTATCAAAATATATAGCGTCTGGGGTCTTAAAGGCTAGAAGGTAATCAAGCGGCCATCTAGCTCAGAAGCAACAAAGCCCACATGGAAGAAGCACACCAGCCGGTGCGATCACAAGGTGTCGAAGGGACCAGGTATAAGGCATCATCAGAACAAAAAATCTTACCATAGCGAATGATGAGGGGAGTGGGGAGTGGAGACCCAAAACCCATTTGTAGGCCACTGGAGATCCCCTTGCAGAGGGGTCTTGGGGAGGAGATGAGCCAGACAGGGTGTGATGTAGCAATAATGAGAAATACAACTTTCCTCTAGTTCCTAAATGCTTCCTCCGCCCCCCCCCCCCCACTATCATGATCCGAATTCTACCTTGCAAGTCTGGCTAGACCAGAGGAGGTACACTGGTACAGATAGGAACTGGAGACACAGGGAATCCAGGGTGGATGATCCCTTCAGGACCAGTGGCGTGAGTGGCGATACTGGGAGCGTAGAGGGAGAGTGGGTTGGAAAGGGGGAACAGATTACAAGGATCTATATGTGACCTCATCCCTGGGGGACGGACAGCAGAAAAGTGGGTGAAGGGAGATGCCGGACAGGGCAAGATATGACAAAATAATAATTTATAAGTTATCAAAGATTCATGAGGGAGGGGGGAGCGGGGAGGGAGGGGAAAAAATGAGGACCTGATGCCAGGGGCTTAAGTGGAGAGCAAATGTTTTGAGAATGATGAGGGCAATGAATGTACAAATGTGCTTTACACAATTGATGTATGTATGGATTGTGATATGAGTTTTATGAGCCCCTAATAAAACAATTTTTAAAAAATGAGGTGCAGATACCAAGGGCTCCAGTAGAAAGAAAATGTTTTGAAAATAATAATGGCAACAAATGTGCAATTGATGTATGGATTGTTATAAGAGCTGTAAGAACCCCCCAATAAAATGATCTTTAAAAAAGAAAAAGAATAAGATATTGCTTAGTATAATTATTTTGATTTTGGCCTGACAACCCCCAGTTTCTTTGATAACTTAATACAGCCTCATTCTTGCTCATAGGAATTGTCTGAGCATCAAGCCTGTTTACTGGATGAACTGTACCACATTTTGGGCAGACAGTCTAATAATTCCCTATATTCCTACCCAGAGTACCCAAAGTTCTTTTTGCATGTGTGAATGGTAGGCTATTATTTTTGCAGCATGGTTTTTTAAGCTTAATGAAAATTGGATCTCTCTCTTGCTCACCTTTTCTATTCAGTAGGCATGGTAAAATAAATTGAGACCTAATTCTGCTAATAGAGATGAAAGTGCTATTTGAGTTGCTTTATGCAGTTACACAAAATAGCTCCATTAATTTTCTTAAATATGCATAATCATGATTTATAGCAAAAGCACTTTAGAAACTTCTCTCACTTCCACTTATGTCTTTTCACCCCATGGAATAAGTATATGTGTGTGCATGTGAGGGTAAGCACACACACAAGATATGAAACAAAACCTGGCTAATTTCTGTTACGTAGAAGTAATATTAACCTCCCTTAGTGAGAAGTAGTGGAAGCTGACTTTACTTTTCAAAGGAATTAATTTGTACTAAAATCCTAGCTGAGGAAAATGATTGAGAAGAATGTATAATGAATGTTTTCTTAAAAAGTGAATGTACATCAGAATTACTTGGGAAGCTTGTTAAATATTCAGTTTATTAGACTCTATTCCTTACCAATGCTGGGGTATGTAGTAAATCTAAGAGGGGGCAAAGAAATCTGCATTTTAAAAAGATCTACAGTGAAGCAGGGCTCATACCTCACCCCATGTACAAAAAATAAACTCAAGATGGATCAAAGACCTAAATGTAAATCTCAGAGCTATAAATATCAGCAATTGGGAAATAGAGATGGACTTCAAAGACCTGTTGTAGGGCATAGACATGGTAGCAAACATTACAAAGGACACACACAGAGTAGGAGACAAAATACATCACAGGACCTACTACAAATAAGACACTACGCTCATCGAAAGAGGAAAATGAGAACCCCTGGGGTAGGGAAAGAATTTTTAACAATGACAGTGAACAAGGGACTAATCTCTCAAATCTATAGAAAACTGTTATACTGTAGTTCAAAAACTGGCATCCAAATAGCTAACAAACATGAAAAATGCCCATAAGCAATAGCCACCTAGGAGATGCAAATCAAAGCCATAAGCTATCACCTTATACCAGCAGTCATAGCCAATTCACACAAAACCAAAACAGCAAATGCTCCAGAAGGTGTGGAAAGATTGTACCACTCATCCACTGCTGGGGCGTGGGGAGGGTGGGGGGTGTCTAAATATTACAACTATGTGGAAAGTGATGTGGCGATACCCCCAAATAACTGGC